CAGTCGCGCGCTAAATCGCTGCGGTTAGTGTACTTGTACTTGTACCGCTGCTGTTGGCGTTCACGTTGACGTCGACGCTGAGCGTTGAGCGTTGACTTTGTGTCTGCGCCAGTTTGCTTTACAAAATTTGGAGCAGAAAGTTTATAGTCTAACAACTAAAGTTTTGCATTCGTCATCGCACTAAAGTTTTGGCGTAAAGTTATTAATAACTTAAGTCAAAGTCCCACTTCTGGGTCGAATTGTTTTAGAAAGTATTGAATTTTACTTGCACGCCATTTTGATGTACTTAAATTTAATCATTGAAAATATTCTTACAAATATTTTAAACCTTTCATGCAATTTTTAAATTTAGTTAAGCGCCCTTTGAGCACAGTAAATTTTCAAGAAAGGGGATTTTTTTTTCGTATGTGTGTAATGTAATTGTAGACTTTAGGTTTTCTGATCCGGCTACTCTTCGAAATTAAAATTTAAACGAAACGACAATGACGCAGTTCAAATTTAGTTGCCTCTGAATTAATTAGAAAACGTTCTAATACTACATCAAAAGATATTTTTGGAAAAGTCTTGCCACAAAAGCGTGTATTTAGAAGCGCTCTTCATTTTGCTGACTGGCTATGCTATGACAAATTTTATTTGAATTTGCCACCCCAAAAAAATGTTTACATGTGCTTTTATGTCTATTTAAGAGACGGGTCTTCAACTCACTAAATTTCAAGGAATTTTATCATTCCACACAAAAAAATAGTTTTGTTATTTTTTTTTAAATATTTGTGCTAAACAATAATTTTAGCAATATTTGATGTGTTTTAAAATTTTGGTAAAATATATTTTAAATGAATTATTTTTTAACAAAATCCTTAAAAATCGATTTTTTAACACTTTTTCTCAAAGAAAATATTGCTACTAAATTAAATTAAATACATAATATGTTTTAAGGATTTTAGGAAAATAATATTTTTAGGAAAAAATATATTTACAATAAGATTTTGGAAATATTTTAAAAAAATATTTTTAGGACAAAAATAATATATTTTTCTTATTATTTCCTAAAATATTTTTGTAAATACATAGTATAGTTTTCTCCTAAAAAATTATTTATTCCTAAAATCCTTCAAAAGTATTGTTGTGTATTAAAACTAGTAAAACGAAAATGATTATTTTTTTCTAAGAAATCTATCTTTTCGCAAAAAAAAAAAAAATTTTGCCCAAAACAGGTAATCTTGCCCCAAAAAAAAATCTAAAATAAAGTTTTCCAAAAAATTTATTTATTCATATTTTTGCCACATTTCACACAATCACTTTTCTCTAGAAAATCCCTGTGGCACATTGCATACAATATGATAATGATTGGATTAACTTTTTGGACCAAGGCCAAGGTCCTGAAAGGGTTAATGTCTTTGTATAGAAAAAAAAAAACTCTGTATCGCTCCTTACGACTTTTGTCGACGAAAGACAATAGATACTGCCAATCATCCAAAGGATTGTCTATCTCGCAAACTTTGCAAAGCAACCACTTCCAAGCATTTAACTACTACTAAATTTTGGTATAGTTAATAGAGTGCACGCTGCAAAAATATTTTTTATTTAATTGTATTCCCAACAGCTCGCCTTCAAAGTCCTGGATTCGGGAGGTCCTCAATTTTTGCATTTTCTGCCGTCGGAAGTGTACTCGCTTGTATTCTTTCTCTGTTATAGCTTAAAAGGTCCTTTAAGCTCTTTAAAAGTTGTTGAGTAAAATTTAATCAAATTTTCCATATGCACAAAAACGCTACCTTTACTGTGCCCATTCAAGTGACGCAATTTTTAAAGATTTTTTTTTTTTAATATTTAATAAAAAGCCCCATGAAGAAACGAAGTACAGCGATTGGTTTTCAATTTTTATTTTAAATAAAAAAGACCAGCAGATAATAAAATTTCATTCGAATATAACAGGAATTGTGTTGCTTTTGATGAATTAAATTGAAACCCAATTTTGTTAGCCGACATTTTATCAATGCTGAGCTAATTTTGTATACCTACCCAAAAAATAACTTAGAAAATTTTCACAAAAAAAAATTTCTTGCCATCATTGACTAGAAATTTAGCATCTAATGGCAAATAGTCCTCCTTTTACCATTCACTAAACAACCAATGAAAATAAAATTTCAATTACAGCAAAAACACAAACTTTTCGTGTTGCAATCACTGGGATAGAGACAAACTCACGCACAAATATCTTTCATGTAGACATAGTAAATGAGGTAAACAAATTTCTTAAATGCAATGTTGATGAATTGCAATGGCAACGCATACACACACGTACATACACTCGCAAGTAGACCGGCAAACAGCCGAGAAGCCCCATCTAGATAAATTACAAAATGGCGTTACGATGACAGCAAACAATGACTGCTAAGTGGAGAGCAGCAGCAGCAGCAGCAGCAGCAGCAACGCTGCAACCAATGAATGAGCTTTAATGCAATTTGGATGCATTTCAATGCAAGGGCTGTTGCTGCTGTGTGAAGGACCTTCCAACGACTGAGGCAACATCCCTCACCTACATGCATATATACATACATACATATATAAGTAAAGTGAGAGCAGCGTTGCAAATCCCTAAAGGTGGCGCGTACATGCGCGTAAAGTGTTGCACTGGAATTGCTTTTTGCTAGCAGACCCTATTCCCAGTGGTCACCTACACATATATATATGTACATATGTATGTATACGTGTATACATAAGCCCCACCTGCTTTCGAAAACGGACGGAGGCGTTGTTGTTGTGCCTAGTACTCAGATTGTAGTTGTAGTCATCTGTCCCTTTTCGCTCGTAAACAAATCAACAAATCGCGTTTTATTTCGATTCGCTCCTATTCAGTCGCCCTTATAATGGCAAGCCAACACCAACACCAACACCACCCCCACCACTAACTCACTCTTGTTCCACTGCGTACATATGTATGTATGTATGTGTATGTTATATTCATACACACGCACTCAGCCCAAATGGGGAGTCACATGAGAATTATTTGGCTTGTGTGTAACCTTTTGGCCTCCCAAGAGACATTCACCGTTACTACACTTAAATGTATGTATGTATATATGTATACGTGTGTTGGTAGGGAGAAAAAAAATGCCAACAACAAAGGAGGCGCCATATGATTGTAGTGCGCTGGCGCTTAGCCAACGACAGAACAGCATTTTCCAGTGGCTGCTCGGTGTGTATCCAAGAGCGCCACACCACCATTACTACCATCGCCGCTCACGCACACTGATTTTGTCTGTTGGAGCCACCACCACCAATGCGAACATAACAGTCATCTAGCTCCCCACTTGTATCCAAGAAGAGGGCGTCGCAGAACTACATTTTTTTCTTGTTTTCGTCCATAATGCCACTTGACTATTCAGGTGGTGCGTGTGTATGTGTGTGTTACTTGTACACATACATACCCGTCGGTGTTTTTCTTTTTATTTTCCTTTTTTTGGACTTTGCCTTTTCTTTTTCTCAACGTCAGTTTTTATGATTTCTTTTGCTTTTTTTCGCGCTCGAAATTCTAAGTGTGCTATTTCGCTCGCACTGCACTGTTTGATATCCTAGCAAAAAAATGTCTACCCTATTCGTTATCGTAGACATTCGTGCCTTTTATTGTATTTTGTTGTTTTGCCCATAAGCCCGTTTTCTTTTTTTGCTGGTCGCTATCTCACCGCTGGGTGGTATATGAAGTTTTCTATTTGGTTCTGTGGTAGGTGCCACACTTTTCTTGAAGGGTCGTTATTACGCATCAACGAACCGAACGAAATTGAATTGAATTAAATTCAATTAGTTGATATTATTAAATGATGTGGAAGTATAATGACAGCGAAGAATATGAAGTCCCCTAATTAATGCGGATTATTCCGTTTTATTCGTTTTGTATAGAATGTCATAACCGAATAGGGTCAAATGGTGGGAATGAAAAGGTGACGTTATGATTTGAAGCCTAGTCTATTTTTCTAATTTAACTAAATTCATTTTAAATTTGTATACTATTATTATTAAATATGTGAGCAAACGTGTTTTTAGTCGAAAATGGTGGCACACTTATCTTAGAAAATGCATTATCTTCAGTTTTGTGTAAAGAACAAGATTCCATGGCATAAACGTATTTAAATGAAAACTTAAAAAAGATATACTAAAAAAAGTAAAAATAACCACTTGTGCCCATACACCCGTAACGCATATGCCCCGTAGCACCATGCGCAGTCATTTAGCACGTTTACTCACACGCTTTAACTTAAAAGTCATATTATTTAAAAGTAATCAAATATTCGCGTGGAAGATGTTTACACAGTATTTCTCATGCACACATATACCACTTTCTTCACGTATATAACAATTTTATAATGAATATCGAGTGTGCCAATAAAAATTGTAAAAATGGAATTTTAGTTTTCCAAATCATAGTCACCTTTTTTTACTCCGTGTATTTTTTTTATTTGCTGGCATATTTACTAGCTTTATTACACTGGGTTCGTTCGATTTGGCAAGAAGAATATTTTCACTGTTTAATTTTAGTATTTTGAAGTAACCATCTTGAATTATATAAATTAAAAAATTGTAAAGTTTTACAAAATATCTGCGACAGATATTCTGCATGCTGCTATTTTTTTTAATTTGGTGGCACACTATTGAAACTTCACAGATATGTTGTATTTGATGCCAATGTCTATTGCCTCTAATATGAACATTCTGTTGGAAAACTTCCCGAAGTTATTTAAAAAAACGATTATGCTTTTTTCGAGTGACAATGAAAAATTAAGTAATTTCGTTACTCTTTCGCCTAAACAAACGTTTTAAGGCTAAAATTGTTCAAATACTTGATTTATTTTTTGTTGTACTAGTTTCTGGAACTCCACTGGGTAATTTTTCTCTGTGCACATAGATATGGCTGTTGACCGGTTGTTAATTAAACAAGGTACACTAATCCCTAAAGAGAGTATCTAGCGCTAAATGCCCAAGATATATATTTAAAAAATTTGAAAATGGCCTTGGTAATCAACTTCCTAATTACAAAGGTTTCGACTGAAGATGATTTAAAATGCATTAATCTGTGTCTGGCCAAGGCCGCGCAGTCAGAAAAATTCATTTGAAGTTTTTTTGTCTTTATGGTAGAGTTAGCACACAGCGGAGCCAAATTGGAATTTACTTTTCAAAATAGTAACGAGCGTTTATTATTACTCTGCGATTACCCTGCTCTTTATAGTACAGGAAAAGACAAAAACTCAGGGGTATAGGATTTCAAGATGATCTAAGCGCAAGCGAATACTGAAGTTGCCAAGGTTCGCATAATCAACGATCTGGTTTAAGGAGTAGAACGATCTTACTCCATTGCCTCCCTACACTCGATTGTAACGCGAGCGATAATTGAACGATACCGGGAGAAAAGGGGGAAGAATAGACGTATTTTCAAGAAGAACGAGTTTGAGATGCTGGCTGGCAGGAATATGACCGAAAATTATATCTGAAAATAAAGTAGCGATCAAATGATTTAAATACCGGGGCTAGTTACTTGAGATACCAAGATGGAAAAGAGATAACGGATGTCCTGAGTACGTGCTTGACGAGGAAGAAAACCAAGCACGGGGTCTAGCCAATGGCACCGATTGCTTTGAGTAGAACTTATCGTGTGTCTGGGCCTGTCTAAATGACTGGCGTAACTTCGCAAGGAAGATACGGTCGGCTGTCGTTGCAATAGCATTTGGGAAACGCTGTTGTAGTCGCAGTCATTGGCCAGATGTAAATCTTGTTCGTTCGGGTTACGAAGACGCTGTCGCGATTGGCAGAGCCAACAAGAGAAAATCCGGTCCCAGTACTAAATATCTGCCGGTTCCCTTTTCCCGAAAAAAATATTTCGTATCAAGCTTTTTAACCAAGTTTATCAACTTTTAAAAATATTTTTATATTCCAACTTAATGTTCGCGAAAATTCGGGCCCAGAAAATTCCGAGTCCGGGGGAAACCCCTGCCTAAAATTTTTGGTGTCGTCCCAAATAAGAAGAAGAATACTGTGAGGAGAAGTATAAGTAATTCACGTATTTTAAAATAGTTTGATGATAAGCGAGTTTTAGTTTAGAAATTAGCTAAAGCTCTAGGTATTCAGAGCCGCTCAAATTTTTAGGATAAGATATACAAATGTATGCATAGGCAAACAGTCAAATCGTCGGCTAAAGACTTCTAGCAAGAGACCTCCTATCGATTATTGTTATATAATATTTTATAGGGCCCTCTCTGTTTGCGTATTTAAGCATAGTTTAATGATAACCTCACTAAATAATTTTATTAATAGTTTAATCTTCTCTTTCTCTCTCTTTCTTTATTTTATTCTCTTTCTCGCTCCTCTTAACAGGAGGCTTCTCCGCTGAGTACTCATCAACAGCGTAATCTCTCTGCGGTGACTATCAATGCTGGAGGAGCAACAGCTCTTGGTAGCGTCTCCTCCAGCGCCTCAACCGCGTCCCCGCTCAGCAACCACAATGGCAGCGGCAACGGCAACGGCAACGTCAACGGTAACGGCAACAACAGCAGCAGCGCCAACGGCAACAATAACATCAACATCGGTGGCAGCAGCGCCGGAGTCAACAACAACCCCCTCACCAGCGGCAATCTCTCGCACACCCTCCCCAGCAGTCACACCATAGGCCCCATAGGCAACCACAGTGGCAGCTACTTAACACCACCACCCAGTGTCAGCATCAGCACCACCGCTTCTTCAACCAGCAACGGCGGTGCACCCACATCCAGTTCCTATTACGAAAGTTTGCGTAATAATGTAATTACTTTGCTCGAGCATGTGCGTCTGCCACCACCCGGCAGCAATAGCGGCGCAAGCATGAGCTCGAGTCCGCTAGACGCAGGCAATGGCGGCAATAATGTAAGTAGCACCAGCATAGGCGGTCATCCCTCCGATACCATTGGCAATAGTTTGTCTGCAAATATTGCTGGCTTACCCGCCACCGCAGAAGTTTTGAGTAATCAACAATTGACCAGCGCTTATGGTGCGCCACATCCACCACATCCCACGCTGATACCACCCAGTCCGCTACCCACCGCATCCATTGCGCCAACGAATGTGGTTAGTGGTGCTGTATCGATGTATGCAGCGCCACCACATCACTTGACTGGCACACATCATGGCATGCTAGGACCACCACCACCGCCACCACCACCACCACCTCATGGTGGTTCAATGCCGCCACATCATCCCTATACGGTGCATCATCCAGCTGGATATGCGCACCATGAACCCTTCGACTCATACATATCGAAATTACAATCTCTCTGTGTGCCACCCGATGTTTACGCGCTACCCGACGATGGCACACGGCCGCTCTACGATGCGGTCAAACCTAGTCTGCATCAAGATTATACATTAATGCCGACACCGATATAAGCCTGGGTGAGAAGAGGGAGTGAATGGGGGGAGAGAGATTACTGGGTTTAACGCCAACTAAGAGAGAACTATTGAAAACGATAGTACTAACTACGCTGTAAATATAAATAAATAGTATTTAAGCAGATATTTATAGAGAAGACTCAAATTCGGACCATGTCGCAGAACAAATTTATGTGATACTCTCATTAAATCCATGTTGAGAGTGAACAGCAGTTGAAGAAGGAATAATTTTGACCGCACACACAATTAGACACAATTGTTTTCCCGTAACCCGTTTTAAAGAACTTTAAGAAACAATTAAGCCACTCTCTCATTTTTCGATGACCTTGGTAGCTTCGTCCGAGGCTTCTTCAATGAGCTCCGTACTCAATGCTTTATTTATGTGACGCAAATGATGCAGAAGCACCCCACTACTGAGAAATGCTACACAGCGTCTAAGTTCCCAAGGATGGAGCTAGCAACAGGCATACATAACTCCGGCGCCGCTCCCGGCTGCTGAGCTCGCGCAGTTGTAAGTGAAAATATTAAAAAGACGTAGGGTGACATGAATGAATGAATCGGCCTTCAATATCACGGGGTTTTCTGAAGTCCCCGCATATGACAATAAGAAACAATCTATCGGATGCCGTTTAAGTAAACATAAGCCAGGTTATCGCTCAAAGTCAGCGCAATCTAAATGCGTGAGAGAGTCATTGAAAATTTAACCACTCGAATACGTGCCGCCGTGAGAAACCATGGCATATATTTAAACGATGTAGTATATTCCGCCCGCAATGGTATGCTATACTTGGCTCTTTCGTTTCGCTAGTTGTTCTTTCCGACAGGGTTGGTGTATAATGTGTTTTGGAACGATCTAAAATAGCACTGAAGATGGCAAAACGCCGAAATCTCTTTGGAAAGCCCCATACTTTCACACGGAGACAAAAATTGTAATTGTGAGTGCCCTGTTCAAGTGAATTTCAGGAGGAGACTTGGCCTCATACATACAAAAATGGTTTCGTTAGCACCCCACACACAGCTTGATTTAAAGAGAACTTTTTCGAGAGGGTTATAACTAAATTCGACATAAATCGTGCATAAGGCCCAAATATTCCCTGATAGGAATCCGTGAAAGTCGCGATTATTGACCACTTATCCATCGAAAGTAGTCAAGTTTCGACAATAAATAGATCAAATACAAAAATATATGACTGAAAAAATATCGGAAATTTTTCGTGAGCAGCCACTAGCCATATCTGCATTTATATCTGTCACGACCAAGACTTATTCCGCAGGGGAAGCTTTTCGTAGCTTTCTGTAGTTTTTATATGAGCGTGCACCTGGTAAAAGCTCTCTCTGGTCATGTTTGAGGTATAATCATATATATGTACATTTGTAAAGTTCGAAGCGCAAATTAACAACAAACAATAATTTTTTGTAAATCATAAAGAGCTTTTGAACGGTGGACGCCCACACAAAATGTATAGAAAGCTTAAAAAAGCTTTGCACACGGACAAGGAGATGTCTTTCACAGATTAAGATGCATAATTTCTGCTTCAAGCTTCATCGAAAGTTTATTTATAAATGGTGTAAGCTAGTTTAATGCAAAGCAAATTTCAGTGAAAGCTTTCCGTTTCAGAGTCAGTAAGAATAGCGATAGCAAGCTCTCAGGCCGTGCGTGTCTATCAAACAAATTATAGAAAGCTTAAAAAAGCGCTGCACGCGAGTATGGCGATGCCCATCACCGGAGCTTAGCATAAGCTAATAGTCTAATATTAATGTATATATGTACATTTACGTATATAGTATGTATAGTAGAGTGGTCCTTAAAATGTACACATGAGTATATAGTTATATGTTTAGTAGGGTGGTCCCAAAATATCACCATCATGTAGCATCTCTTTATTTTGTTCCACGTACAAAATAAAGGCATACACGAAAATTTTAAAATCGAAAAAAGTTAAGCCGCAAAATTCAACAATTTTTTCACTTTGACCAGCAATAACCCAGCGAGTTTATGAAAAATTTCCAATTAAAATTTTGTCGAGGTTTTGCGATTTTTCAAAAAAAAAAGAAGAATTTCGAGATTGTGTTTATATTGTGCGTACAAAAAAATAAAAGGGTGCTCCAAACAAAATTTTAATGTCGATATCTTTAAGGCACACCCTAATGTATAGTATTAGTTTGTAACAACATAACTTAATAAACAAAATATGAAAAATATTACTTTTAGTAAAAAGACAGGTATTAAGCATTAGCCTTATAAAAATTTATTTAGTTTCTAAATAAAAATAAAAAAATACTTACAAACTTAGATATAACGAAGTATTGGCGTACTCATTAGAAGTCATTAGTTGATATGAATGAAGATATTATCGAAGCAAACTTGTAAATTTTCAATTGTGTTAATGCATATACATACATGCATAATTAGATCGATTTTTTCTGGGTCTGATGCAAAAATGTAGATTTTTGTAAAAATTGGATTTACGAATATCAAATAGGCATTCTAAAATGCTAAGCTGAAAATCGTATACGAGTCAGACGGCATGATGAAGAACTTCCGAAAGAGACACCCCCTCGGATAATTTCTGTATTAGTAAAACCGCAATGTTCTCCCGCTCGTAGCAACAATTGTAAATAATCTCTTTTTGTATAACGTATTTAATTTCACTGCTAAATTTTAGCTGTTAAATCCGAACTTTAGAACTAAATGAGAAAATTCGGAAATTGTTGAAGAGCGCTAAATTAGAGCCCTCCCGCCGGTATTGATGTGCAGTTCCGCAAGACAGCGAAGTATGTACAGATTTATTAGTGAAAGTAATTTATGTATGTAGTTTGCTAAATTTAATTACATACATATGTATGTATGTACTTATGTATTAAAGCGTAAACATTAGTATTAAGCCATTCTAAGTATTTAAGCTGAGATGTAGTCGTTTTATAACCACTAATATTACAAATATTTCTCGCTTTTTACTTTATATAATTTTTGTATAAAAGTATTAAAATAGGAAATGTGATTCATTTTTTTTTTGTAATTTAAAGTGCAATTTGTTTAAATATTTTGTTTAAGTTTGAATAAACTGTTGTAGCTCAATATTTAAGTAAGTATATAAAATTAAGAAAGCAAGCAAAACTGTTACTGTAGTATATAGTACACATATATATAAATCAAGAATTGAGCTAATATAAGTAAGAATATTGGCATACAAATAATGGCGAATTTCCACTAGGCATTGATATGTCAAAAAATATTTATGTGCCAATACTGTTTTTATTTACCTAGTGAGACGTTTTTTTTTTAATGTCCAACCTTGTCACTTTTTTTTTTTTTCATTTAATGCGCAGTAGAAATTCGGTATAATGCTGAATTTTCACTAGGCACTAAATGACAAAATTTTTTATGATAATATTGGGCAATCAAAAATGGCCGTGTAATTGCGTTCGGAAAAAGTCATTATGTTTGTTTCCACATGGCATACATTTTTTGTCATCTCAATGCATAATGGAAACTTGACATAAGAATTAAAAAAAAAATATTATGCCGAATTCCACTGGGCATTAAGTGGCACAAATTTTGTAGACAAAAATGCTCGTTAAAAACAAATTCGTGTCATTACTCTTAGAATAATAGTCATTAAATCTGTTTGCACTTGGTTTTTTTTTTTGAATTGGCTTAAATTTTTGTCATTTCAATGCCTAGTGGAAATTTGGTATAAGTTGCATCTATGTGTTACCATTTAATATAAAAATAGCATATATGTGTATACATACAAATATTTATTCGTAGATTAACGATGTAAAAACAGTTCTTGGGTGTCATAAAAAAAATATTAAACTACATTTAGTGAATAAGAAAAACGCAGATATCAAGAAAGTGCAATAAAGAGAGTAACTTATTTAGGATAAGCAATTCGCTAAAATACATAAAATTCTATAAAAAATGTATTAACAAGTAATAAATAAAAATACGAGGCAAAAAAATAAAAAAAATATAAAAAAACGTAGAATTAAATCCGAAACCAATTCAGTATAGGTATACATAAATATGTATGTAGAAACAAAAGTTAAAAAATACTATAATTAAAAAAAATTCAAATAGACAACTTAATTTATTTATTTGAAAAATACCCAAAAACAGTGCTGAAATTTTTAACTTAAATCTTACAATCAAAACAAAAAAATAATTATTAAGAATGATTACAGCAAAGATTATAATAAAAATGCACAACAACTTCGTTTTCGCGTATTGTACTTGTATGTACATATGTATCACATCAAAATAACTAGAGTATTATTAGCTCTAAGAAAAAAATGTAGAAAAAGACAAAATCATTAATCGCGTAAATTAACTATTTCAATAAGCCAAAGCGAAAATAAAAATAAATTGTAATTATAAAAATAATTCAATGTTAAAACTAATTTAGTAAATAAATAAATTTCAATAAAAATAACTAATTCCTAATCGTTTTTTTTTTTAATAAATATCAAAATCCTACTAATCTTGGGGAAGTTTGTGAGGGAGTGGTGAATATGGTTTGTTGCTCTTTACCGCTGATCTTTCTTTAAAGAGTTGCCACCCTTTCTTATGATAAATTCAAATAATTAATAGGTTATATAAAATATAGTACAACGATGTCGGAGTCAAACCATAAAGGTTCAAAAATGATTTATTTCTCAAATATTTTCGAAAAGGGTTGCCACCTGTTGAAAAAGTAAAAATCAATTGGGCATCAAAGGAGCGAATTTCCGTAGTCCCTTATCAAATTTGGTTAGGGGACACACCCGTTTCGGCGTTATGCCATCGTCGGTGTAATTTTTCGTTTAAAATATTTTGACGGTATCAAATCAGGCATACGCAAATCAGCATTACGAATTTGCGAAAATAGCCTAAGAGTTTCGAAATTACGATACGACAAAGCGGATTTGGGCATACCTAATGCTAGTATCTGTACTTCTTCTGGCAGCATAAGTAATACTTTGTTTTGGATTCCAAATTTTTAGAAAAATTCCAAGAATGCACAGTACAGCTCAACAAACATCTATTTATATATCTAAGGGTGGCTACATGTAAATTTTTAGGTTAGATTGGAATGGTGGTGGAAAACTTAAGTAAGTGCGGGGTGTTTAATGAAATTGAATTTGTTTTGAATGAGAGAGAATGAGAATTATCTTGCAACTAAATGGAAAAAAAAGAATGGAAAGTTGGGCATATGTAAATGCATCGTTTTCTGTTCATTTTCATTTCAGCGGCTTCTACAGAATTCATTCTAGGCGATGCCAACCGGTCAATGTCCAATAAGACCCGCTAAGCCTCATCTGGAGTTTCCTAACAAGTGTGGTATTGTTTTATTTAGGTTTCAAGGTTGAGTATTCGGCACCTATGATCCTTTTCTGAAGATTTTGGTGAACAATTTTGCTGCATACAGTTCCGATTGGTGGTGAAATCCTGTCCTGGATTGAGGCCCATATGGAGCCTTCCTTGACTAACTCAGAAGTACACTTGATTCCGGAAATGTTGCCATAGCCAGGGACCCAATCAGAATCGACTACGAACTGACTACATATCATATTGAGAACACTTGTACTTTGTTGTAAAAGATGCCCGAGCTATAATGACAGCCCCTCTATCCGAGCAAATGGCGGCCCTCTCGCTTGATGGTTGCCTAAAGTATCACGTTGTTAAAGGAGAAAACCTTCAGCGATAGCGAACGTTTCTGCTTGGAAAACACTTTGAAAATCTGGCATGTGAATTGATCTTCTTATACGGCGTTTCGTAATTCGTTCTCTCATTCGTAATTCGATCTCCCATTCGTCATTCGCCTTGCCAATTACCTTCCGAATTACGTAATTCGCCATACAAAATTTTGAGAGCGCATTACTTCATTTGTAGGTAATGCAGATATATTATTCGGAATATATAAAAGATAATATCGATCGGAAATATATCGAAGTTTTCACCGGCCTGGTACCATTTGCTGGCACTTTTTCTAGTTATAGAATAATATTAATAAAATATTCTCTATATAAATTAAAATTGTTGATGATAACTTAAATTTTAGCTCCATCTTCGATATCTGCAGTACACAAAAATAATAATAAATAGCGAAGAACAAGAACAAGAACTATAGCTGCCAAATGAATTACTAATGTGAGTGTCTTGGAAACAGGGTAATTCACCAATTACTTAGGGAGCGAATTACGAATCGTGGAAACATCGTATTAGTCCAAATCAAATTCCCAGCCTCAGTCAGCTCTCGACGACTCGTTCGTTGACGAGTTCGTTGACTTTAGATATTCAAAGGGGATAATCTCATTACACCATGAAATATTTTATATTTTCTGCATTGAAATAAAGTTTCAATATTCCCAAATTCTGATTACTACAAGAAAATACCTAGGAATCGTACAAAATTCACTTCCACAGAATTGGCCGAGTTTGATGGACACAGAAGTGGAATTGTGGATGGGCGAGCACAGTGTGACCACAGCATTTTTGGTACTTAACTTGATTTATGTGGCTTCATTAGGCATTCCACACATACCGGCCACAAAGAGCACAAAGCGAACAAATGCCAGAGGTACTACATATCCTCTTACCCCCTCCATTTTCGAAACCCAACAACCAACGAGCACTTCGAGTTGAAAGTGGTAAGACACTAAATAAACGAGAATAGTGCGCTTTTCAGGATAATTGCAGCCAAAAAATGCTGGCAAAACTAACAAGTAAGTTGGAGCAAAAAGCGCACATGCATACATACATACACATAGTTATATACATAAAAAGGAGACTATTCATGTCCGTTTGACTATCGCATGCTGGCATAGATCAAAACTCCATGCAAAAAACCAACAACATTACGACCAAAACAATTAAGGCCAACAACACGTCGGCGGCATGCGGTACTCAAACGAAATCTTGCGGCACAAAATGCTCCACAC